CAGATTGCACCTGTTTAAAAATTCTATGGAAATGATTTGGTATTCAATTCTGCTAATTAATGGCCCTTAAGAACTGATGATTAGGCTCCATTTGAACAGAACAGGCCCTTGATGTTGATTTTCTTTGGCTTTGGTTATATTTCCATACATCATTAACAAAGACAAAATGCAGAGTGTGTGTGTGTGTGTGTGTGTGTGTGTGTGTGTGTGTAATAGCCTTTAAAAAAACTGCCACTGCCCTGGCTTTAGAGAGTGTGCAATTACTAAGTACTGAAAATCCACTGGCCTAATCCTACAAAGTACTGCGCACCTCCAAGGAAATGTTCAGCACCCTCGACTCTTGTTTCAACTCGGCGGGAGTTAAGGGTGCTCAGCAATTGGCAGGATTGAGAGCGATCTTCTCTAGGGTTACCATATTTTAATTTAAAAAAAGGAGGACACTCCACGGGGCCCCGGCCCCGCCCCAACTCTGCCCCCTCCCCTGAACGCTCCGTCCCCTGATCCTCCCCCCTCCCCTGCTTCCCGCGAACCAAATGTTCACGGGAAGCCTGAAACAGGGAGGCAGCAGGTAAGCTGGGGCTAGGGCGGGGCGCGGCCCAGTCCGGCCCCCCCGACCAAGCGGCTCCCTCCGGCGGCCGGCCCAGGCCAAGAGGCTCTGGCCCCAGCGTCTCCCGCCCGGCTCGGCTCAGGCTGAGCACCGCTGGCCCCTGCCCCCACACCGTCGGCCCCGGCCGAGCACCCCCGGCCCCGCACCGCTAGCCCTGACCCCCGGCTCCCACACCGCCGGCCCCAGCAGCCCTGGCCCCCTCCCTCTCTCCCTCCCTCTTTTCCCGGACATGTCCGGCTTTTGGGGATTTCCTCCCGGACGGGGATTTGAGGCCCCAAAAGCCGGACATATGGTAACCCTAATCTTCTCTTACTCAGACCACATGTACATGAAGTCTGCATGCTAAAAAATATTTCTCTGTCTAGTTATAGTGTAGCTTTAGGTTTACATGTCAGTCAATTTGTGTGAAGCCAGATTGCAATTAAAACACAAGTAGATTTTGTTCCTCTTACTCGTGTTGAGTAGTGCCTTACTCGGTGAGTAGTCCCATTGATTTCAAGATGCTACTCAATCTGAATCTGACCCACCAACAGGGAGGACTGTTCATGGATTGAGGCCCGGGGTTAGAAATTTGCACTGCTGAAATACCGACAGTATTGTGTTTGGGGTTTTTTAATTTACTTTCTGGCCTGTCTTTAGAGTCTGAACACTGCACATTTATTTCTGTAACAAGCTGCAGTGCAAGATTGATATTCAATTACTGTATCCTCCCCCGGGGGCCTTAATTCCAATACAGCCTCTAAAGCAAATTCAGCAGATACGGTACATATCATGCTGTATGTGACTAGAAACGGTGCAGTTAGTGTCTACAGAAATATACTGTTGTCCTGCTTTCAAGGCAAGCCCACATGTATTATTGTTCACTCCATTTGTACAAGACTAGATTAAATTAACACTTTCCATGTCTCTTTTTCCTCTGTTACATTTTGAAGCTGATTGTGATGTTTTTAAACAATGTTTTTTCATCCTTGCAGAGCCACTGGCACTGAGAAACTTTTTGTCTTTAATGTGGTGTTACAAAAAAAGAAAGTGGAATTAATGATGTCTTTGACAGCTCAATTATATTAAGATAATAATAATCCTACATGAGACTGTTCTGTTTTCATTTATTAAATGTTTTTTGGGCCAGCATTTTTTCCCCCTTTTTTCCTGCATCTTAATAAGAAATATAGAAATGTTGTATTTCAGGTGGTTCCAGTAAACAAAAATACAACAGAAGTGTAACAACAGTCCTCCTGGTATAGGCATTATAGGATTATTATTATGTAGTGCACATATGGCCAGGAAAGCCATGCTTATATTGTTCTCAAATCCCAATGGTCTTGAGAGAATAAACAACCCGCACACCCACATTGACTTTCTCACCAGCATGGTTAAGGAAGGGCTACTTGGATTGGAACTGGGCCTGCAGCCGATGAGGACCGCAAGGGCTACTCACCTCTTATCTCTCCCACCCTTACCCCATGAACAAGGGGACACAGAGAGTGGGAGGATCTGGAAGAATGAGCTGTAATGATGCAGAAAAGATGTGCAGTAATTTACTCCCCCATCCTGAACAAGCGGGGGAGGGGACAGGATTGTGAATCTGAATCACCGCTCAGTCTGGGCAGTGACAGGCCCTCCTTTACTCAGGTCAGATAGTACATTTGCAGGCTACTCCTCTGTTAAGGTATTTTTTATTTTTATTGTCGATGTTGCTAATCTCCACCCACAGAAATTACATCGCTAATTCTAATGTACTTTCAGTGCTAATATACCATACTAGCAAGTGGAGGGGAGGGGACCACAGGGAGATCAAAAACTGAAACACAGCAAGTAGCTTTAAAAGTAATGGGGTGGCCGCAACAAAAAATATGTCATGATATACCATACTGGAGAAAGTTTTTGTTATTGCCACTTATATGGGATGACCTACATAACTTGCTCTTGGCTCCAAACACACGGGAGTAGTTGTGATAATCCCAAAAGTACAGCAGTAGCAATTAAAAAAACGTATTGCACTATTGTTATACTATTTGGATATAATAATAGAATACAAGGTGGCGTCTAGAAGCATAAAGGTTTTATTGGCCCTCATTTTGGATGCCTGTATAAGTCATTCATTATGCTACATTTTATGTTTGCTTATGCCACAGTTTAGAAAATATTTTATTGATAAAATTTTTTTATTAATATTGTTGTTGCTCATCCTCTGCCTGTAAAATCAGGTTGCCTTAGTTACCAGAGCTCTGAATGACAGGAAAAATAGTATGAACAAATATTAAATATTTCTAAAAAGGATCTAAAATAGCTTTTCCATAAATCCAGGGAATTGGGGATTTAAGGTCTGATATCTTGGTCTGCCAGGGCTAGAAATGAATGATGTTATATCACTTGAAAAACTGGAATCCCAGAATTGTTTCTAGTGATAGCAGATCACAAGATAGCTGAGTGCGACTCCGGGATCACTGACAGTTTTAATATTGCCACTCATTGATGTTTGGCCATTATAATTTCAGCCCTTCCGAGTCCATGGTTTGGGGTAGATGTGGGTGAAGAAATAATTTTGTGATAGGTGCTTTAAAGACTAAAATAGAGGCTGTTGAAAGTAGCTTGCAGGACTGAAGTGTTCAGTGGACTGTGTCAGATTATGAGGTCAATCCAAATGTATGCCAATAAACCTGTTATACCATGCCATACATACGCATATAAATGCGTCACATGACAGCTGCCATTCTTATTATGTAAGCCCCTTCATTTCAAAAGGTGTTTTTTACTCATTTTTGACTTACTCAAACTTTCCCTTTTTAGGCTGAATTTTCCAGTACTGAAATCCACCAGAGCTAGATCTGTCTATAGCAATATTTCTTTATTTAGAAGGTTGAGCAAAAATGATTCTGCTGTTTTTGCATAGGTAGGGAGTGAAGAAAAATACCCTAATTTTTCAGATTAGAAGTGTGAATGTGTAACTTGTGAAAGGTGCCGCATGGATAGTCCAGGAGGCTGAAATCTTTTATTTATCCACAGCAAAGGAGGCAGTGTTGCAAACTTCCTTACACAGCCCTTAGTTACTAGCCTTGTTGTGAAAGGATCAGTGCCAGCAGTGACATGTTAGCTTATGCCCCGTGGTCATTCAGTCTTTGATGTTGCTGGTCAACGTAAAGCAAGGGTGCCAATTTACAATGGTACCAGGAACTGGACAGAGACTGCAAATATTATTTCATGGAGGCCACAAGATAGCAGTTAGATTATGATGATGTTTGGTCACTACTGACTTAGCTGGATTTGAACTGTCTACTTACAGCTGAAAGCCTCTTAATACCAATTATCAATTGTGGGAGCCAGCTAGTCCCACTTTTAGGGTTTGTTGTTTCTAAAGTTTGTATTTTGCCATCCGCAGCATAGAGCAGCATCCTTTGGTCTTTTTCACAAAAGCAAAAGAGAGAGACTGAACAGGGAAAGGAGGGGAGGGTGAATTGTTCATTTTATCCTGCCTCTTTACATCTTGTGGGATTGCTCACTGCCTCATTCTCTCTCATGCTTTATCTAATTTAAATTAAAATCACCAATGAGAATACATTTAACATTCTCTTCCTAATTGCCACTGTGAACATCCCAAAGCCACAGCGATGGCAATATAGCTGAGGTAGCATAGCGGTTAGGCTAGAGGAGCATTGCCAGAATTGTGTGGGGAAGTTTACATAAATACTTGGCTGTGTTATGATTGGTTCAAGCAAGTGATATTAGCCCCTCACTTTTATGAGCATTGAACTGATTCCTTTACACAGTAAATGAATTTAAATGATTTACTTTAAAGTTTCAGTCCCACAAGTTTTAATTAATTCAGCTCTACCATCTTGGTACCGCAGAAATGTCAACAGTGCATGATTATCTATATACTGTAATATTTAGGCACAACAGTTTAATGAAAGAGTCTGATCTTAACTCCTAGTATCTTTTCTTTGTGAGTTTGATTTACTCCACTTGAGTGGGGAAGTGCAAAATGTATCCCCTGCATCAGTGCAGAAATTCCATCCACTAGGGTGGGAAGCTCTAGTTGATGGGACCAGGATGATGAGAGGTGTTGAGTGTCCTGGTCCTGTCCTGTCCTCGACTGACTCGTCTCACTTTGTGGACTGTGCCAAGCAACTCTGGGTGCTGCTGTGTGCCACATCCTGTTGCAACTCTTCTCTGAACAGACTTTCTAGCACCGGAGTTCTTGGTGACTCAAACTCTTCATGCTATTTCAGCATATCTTTGTCTGATTTTAATATAAAGTAGTAGTTATTGGTTAATAAAAAGTTAAAATGCCATGAAGGTAGCTCTCGTAATGACATAAACCATCTGAGATGTATAACCAAAAGTGATAATATTTCAGGATCTCCCCTTGATACCAGTGACTAGAGCTGAGCAAATAAACCACAGTAAATAATGTATCTGATAAATGTAGCCTCTCTTGCTGCTAGTGGAGTATCCACAAACCGATGGCAGTTTCCTTGAATACATTTATTTGAAAGGATTCAGGGAATGTAGTTGTCAATTGTTCTTAATCCTTTAGTTGGATCACAAACAGTTTTAGACTCAGGCCTGATTCACATTGGTTTGAAGGGTATGTCTACACTGCAGTTAGACACCCACGGCTGGCCCATGCCAGCTGGCTCAGCCTAAAGGGCTGTTTCATTGCAATGTAGACTTCTGGGCTTGGGCTAGAGCAGTGTTTCTCAAACTGGGGTCGCCGCTTGTGCAGGGAAAGCCCCTGGCAGGCTGGGACGGTTTGTTTACCTGCCCCGTCTGCAGGTCCGGCCGATCAAGGCTCCCACTGGCCGCAGTTCGCCGCTCCAGGCCAATGGGGGCTGCTGGAAGCAGCGGCCAGTAAGTCCCTCGGGCCGCGCCACTTCCAGCAGCTCCCATTGGCCTGGAGCGGCGAACCGCGGCCAGTGGGAGCCGCGATCGGCCGGACCTGCGGACAGGGCAGGTACACAAACCGGCCCGGCCCACCAAGGGGCTTTCCCTGCACAAGCAGCGACCCCAGTTTGAGAAACACTGGGCTAGAGCCTCCGCTCTAGGACCCTAAAAGGTGGGAGGGTCCCAGAGCTCAGGCTGCAGCCCAAGCCCAAGTCAGCTGGCACAGGCCAGCCACGTAGTTTTATTTGCAGACATACCCTAACTGACTTTGGATTATTCCCTAGTCAAGCTGTGTTAGTTATGATTGGTCCGGTTGTTTTTTATTCACTGATCGGATGAGTGATCAAGCACTTCCAGCACCCATTTAATACGGGTGCAAATCTAAAATGTGGTTTATGTGGATACTTATGCATGTGACTTTGAAATTTGCTTGCCATGAATATTCCTGCCAATACGACTCGAGCACTTGTACGTGTTTGGAAAGCGAGCACATGGAGCATTGCCAAAGTGCATTACTGTACAAATTCAAACCAGTATTGGTTGTGACGTTTTCTGCAAGATTTACTGAGCTCTTCTAACAATTGTGCTATGAATGTCACGCTGTTACAAATGACTTTTTATATGTGTTGTAGTATGGGGATTTTTAGGTACAATATTCTATGTTGTACTCAGCATGAAATTGTGCAGAGATATACATGGAGAGTGATTTGTGTCTACTTCTCTTATACATAATGTTCATAACAATTCACTGTCCTGTCCCTGTTATTAATGTCCTTTTCTTTGCCTTTTGTTTTTCAGGCCACAATGTAGGGAGCCTTTTCCACATGGCAGATGACTTGGGCAGAGCAATGGAAACCTTAGTTACAGTGATGACTGATGACAAGGCATTAGAATAGCAAGATGTGTTTTACAACTTCAGGCGTCCCGCATGGTTTTTATAAAATTCATACAACAAAGAGGATTAGACTGTAAGAGTTTACAAGAAAACAAATCTATATTTTTGTGAAGAGTAGTGGTACTATACTGTAGATTTCAGTAGTTTCCTAAGTCTGTTATTGTTTTGTTAACAATGGCAGGTTTTACACGTCTATGCAATTGTACAAAATTATAAGAAAACTACATGTAAAATCTTGATAGCTAAATAACTTGCCATTTCTTTATATGGAACGCATTTCGGGTTGTTTAAAAACATTTATAACAGTTATAAAGAAAGATTGTAAACTAAAGTGTGCTTTATAAAAAAATAATTGTTTATAGAAACCCCCTTTAAAAAAAAAAACAAAAAAATGGAGGCAATGCATTTATTTAGTATCATTTCAGCTCTGTAACTGTACCAGAGATGTATTCATGTTCTGTGTTCTTTTCCCTGCTTAGCAAAGGAAGTATTTTCTGCAGCAACACCAAAACAACTGACTTACCTTTCACGTTGTTTTTTGTCTGACTAAGGTTGGCTTAAAAAAAACATCTTAACTTCCAACTGAGGTCGTTTTTCCACCTCTTTCCAGATAAAATTAAGGATTACATGAATCATCCAGCTAGTCTGCAATAATGAAATGAAAGAGCACATTACATGACAATGCTCTCTTCAGAGCTTGCAAAAATAAATTGTAAATCTCATTAATATCCTATACTCCAGCTGTTTCTTCTGCCGACTAAAATCCTGAATGTTGTAGTAAAGAAACATGGGAATTGCCTTACCGGATTAAACCTTTGGACCTTATTGTCCGGTACCCTGCCTCTGGCAGCGCCAGCACATGATGTTTCAGCAGAAGTTTGATATGCTTCCTCCCCACCCATAATGCCACCTTTCTGAGATGCTGTAGGTGGAGGGAAGGAGATTCCTTACTGACTCCCTGCTGTTGATCAGCTTCTGTCTAGAAGCATGAAGTGATTGTTCATATATCATCATAGATTGCATAGCTACCAATGTTATTAATGATCATAAAGTTACCCAATCTTTGGGTGGGGAGGTGAACACATCCACAATATCTATCTCAACCCCTTGTGGCAGCAAGTTCCAAGGAGTCACAGTGTTTAAAGCTTTGGGGGGCAGTGTAAAAGAATTACTACTGTTCCTGTATGATAAGCAGTTGAAGGTGCCACACTGTTCCATGAAATGTTCATCAGCAAAACAAGGTTCTTCCCCCTCCCCCACCCTTGTCCCCTCAGTATTTTGTTCTTCCCCATTTTTTCTGCAAGTAATACCGCACAATTCACAATGACTTGGGAGAGGGAGAAGAGAAAATAGGTTAAACGGTTCAACAGCAACTCATTAGGGTAGGTTGGGGTATGAGGTGCTGTTAGCAAAAGCTTTACCATTTCATTTTCTTTTATCAGCTTTTAATTTCCTTTTATAACACATAGAAATACACCATCTGACTTACATTACTTTGCAAGGGTAAAAATCTGTTACCTCTTCTTGTACGAAGTGTAATTAAAAGTTGAGAGAGATTTTATTTTATTTTGAATGCTAGTTAACATTGAACATGGCTAGTCATGCTATTTCTACCTCACTTTGGTTTTGTGGTGTTCCTGACAATTACGTACAGATGTTACATTGTCACCACTTGTCCATTGTGTGAACCGGTCTCATCATTTAATACTAATACATTAAAAAGAAACCCAGATCACTTTCATGATAAAGAGCTCTTTAAAAGCTTTATTTACAGTGGGTACCCTGTTTGCTTCTGATTGCCTTTCTTCAGGAAAGTTCAAATCAAGATCTAAGGGAATGGATTTGTTTTTCTTTTTTTCTTTTGTGCTTGTAAGTTAAACCTCTTTAAAAAATCAGAGGTAAATGGCTTGCACGATTGTTTTCATCAGGGTTTTATTTTGGTTGGTTTTTACTTTCTAGACATTAGTTTTGGAGTGAATCTGTTAAAAATATTTAAAAAGTTGAGAGCTTTATTGCTGCTTTTTAAGCATAATTTGGGAATTATTTCATGTTCTTTATAACCACAAAGTATTAAACTGTAAAACATAATCATTGTAACTGACTACATAAATATCATATGGCATGTTATTTCATTGTTACTCAGTACTGGTTTATTCCTTGGGTATCATAAAATATTGTGTTTTAACACCAACACTGTAACATTTACTAATTTTTTTATAAACTTCAGTTTTACTGCATTTTTCACAACATATCAAATTTCACCAAATATATGCCTTACTATTGTATTATATACTGCTTTACTGTGTATATCAATAAAGCACGCAATTATGTTATTAATCTTTATGGAAGTGCAGCATTTATTTAGTGGCTTTCTTTTCCAGTAATCCGCTCTTTATTGAGCTCCACTGGCTGACATGCCATCTAGTCTATTCCTTAATGTACTCCATATACCCCTCAACAAAGTACTCAGTGGGCTGGATGCCAAGGGCAGCACCCATAGAAATCCCACATGATTTGGGAGAAGGGGCAGGGAACCTCAGCTGTCTCTCGGAGGGGTTGTTTTGTAACATGTGGGGCTAACCTAAGGCATAAAGCTCATACCAGCACTACCCATTCTGAACAGGCCATTATACCTTGAATGTAAACAAAATTCAACTCCATCCATGAATATTTTTGTTGTGGGAAGCAGCTGTAAAATCCACATTGCTGGAATTATTTCTAATCCTTCCTCCCCCCACACACACACACACACTCCTCTCTTTGGCTTTGTACTTTCCCTCTCAAGGTCTCTGCATACTTTCTTCAGTGTTTGTCTACAGGCATTGCCACAGTGGTTTAGAAATATCTATTGACACTCCAGGGAGACATTGGGCTGGTATTGTTTTTCCCTTATTATTGCTCTTTCTTGTTAGTGTGTTTCTCCCACGCACAGCCCTCCAGGGGCTGCCAATGCCTTGCTTCCTGTTCAGTCTGAAGAGTGAAACCACATCTAAGAATCAAATTCTAGGCATTTATGTAGCAATTCAAAGGTCTTCTACCACATTATGTAGCTCTATGAATCGTAAATAATTATAGTGATTATGTAAGAATTCCCAGTCATCACTCTGAGGTTTGACAGGCTCTTGTCTTAAGATTAGGCCCAGTATTATTAAAATTACTATTTAGTTGGGAACTCTGATGTGCACATTTGCAACACTCACACTTTAGGAACACGTCTGTATTTGTAATAGTTCATTAATACATTTAGCTAAATTACAAACACTCTAATGGCGCACGATATCTAGCGATACTACAGAATGTAGAGCTGACTATCTATATACTCAGACCAGCCCTTGCAAAACAACCTGAAATGTTAGCCAGTATCTTCCTCCTTATCACCACTGGGCCCTCCCAAGGGCTACATTTCTCTCTCCTCCTGCCCACAGGCTGGAATACAACTTTTATAACGCATTACACTGATGTTACTATGGCTAATGTATATTCAGTCGGGGTTTCTTTATTTGTATTTCCTCACCCTACTAATGTTGGGGGTGCCCTTCTCCCACCGATTAGTATATTAATAACCTCAATTTATTGCCATGGCACTTTTGTGGAGAGACAGCTGCAGATGTTGCTAAAATATCCAAAAGTTAGTGTTAACTCATGGTCCTGTGGTTGGCTGGTGGTGTTCTGGCTAAACATCCCCCCTTACACACACTATTCCCAGGTAGGGTCCTTGTATTACTGCTAAATAAAATAAATGCTAATGCTAGCTCTATGGGCTACCGTTGCTACCATATGTGTTGCCAACAGACCACAAAACATCATCACGCATGTGGCTGATAAAAATGTGGTTCAGGGAGCATTATGAAAGTGCTTGCTCTGTAAGAGATGTCTGGGCATTTGGTAAGATGTTTGAAGAACAACTCCAGATAATGTGGCATTTTTTAAAAAAAAATCCTCAACACTCCTGGCCCTTTTAAAATGTTTTCTTCCATTGCTGTCAGACAGCTGTATTTAACAATAGATGCTTTTCAAGCTGTGTTCCTGAGCAAATATATTGTAAACTTTCGTCTTTATAATCTGCTGCCTCTTGTCACCCTCCTGAGTGCTCAGCTATGGTGAATTGCAAAGACAGGACCATGACATTGCTAAATGGTGCAGGCTGATTATATCACCATCAGGTGGCTGGCCCCTTTCCCTGAAGTAGTCCCTGTGCCTTTGTGCCAGTACAGGTGGTCCCAGTTTGGCCAATTAAGAGGGTGGGGCAGCACCTGGGGCTACAGAGGATGAGAGGGAGTCAGGGAAGTGGGTGGTTCTTGGAAAGCAGGAGAATAGAGGGGTGGTGGTGTCGTAGGTGTAGGTGTCTGACTACCCTGAGCTAGAGGGCTAAAAGTCCCTGAGCAGCAGAGGGCATTACCTGCTGACTTGTAAGCTGGAGAACCCCAGCCAAAGAGCAGAGAGTACTAAAGGCAGGTAGGGTGACCAGACAGCAAGTGTGAAAAATTGGGACAGAGGGTGGGGGGTAATAGAAGCCTATATAAGAAAAAGCCCCAAATATCAGGACTGTCCCTATAAAATCGGGACATCTGGTCACCCTAAAGGCAGGGCACCAGCAGAGGGGTTTAATCTGCCGCCATCTCTCCAACCTGGCAAAGGTTAATGGAATGGGGGAGTGAGGGGTGCTCCCTGGTGACGATGGACTCCCAGCAGAGTGACTGTAGGGGGTTCCTGCTAGGAAGGGCAGGGCTGTACTCCAACTGGAAGGGCTCGAGCACCCTGGCAGATGAACAGGAGAGGAGGGAAGAAGAGATGCTGTATAGTATATGTTACATTGATGGATTACCGATAGTGGGCTTTTCAGGACCATAATCAAGGGGTGGGGGGAGGTGATAAATGGACTGTGTTTGGGATTTTTGTTATGGACGCTTTGCAGTGTTTTATTGTAATAAACTAGCCCCCGGGGGGGGGAATTGTATTAAGGCTTGGAGTCTTTAGGGGCATGAGAAGGGAAGGGGGATAGTAATCCTAGCATTAGGGTACCAAGCTGCAAGGGAGCATTCGGGAATAAAGAGGCCATGTACACAGTGATTAAGAAAAAAACATGTATTTGACTAGTGCGATAATACATAGCAACCTCCCCTACTTCACTCATTTGGGCTAACACTCCCTACCAAACTGGAGTTACTCTGAAGCCTCTCCCTCGCCTTCTCTCCCACCCCCCCGGTAAGTGAGATCACAATGTGCCTCTGGGTAATAAGATTCAGCTGAATTTCTCAGTCCACTGGCTCCACTGCCTCACAGTGGACAAAAAGGGGCCTGCTTAATCTAGCTGAGTTAAATAAAAAGGAATCTCGCTTCCTCTTTGTGCCAAGTGAGGAAGTTGATTGCATTGGCAGTGCCACTGTTGGTTTTACCAACTTAGGCTTTGATGCAGTAAGGAACTTTGCCTAACTTAAGCGTGAGTCATCCCATTGCACTACTTTGCTGAATTGGAGCCTTAAAGAAAGGTAGACAAGACATGTCACTATTGATTAACGTTCTACCTTCTCCTGAGGACTTCTCACCACTAAATTCAGATGAATTCAAATGCAAACCCTGGCAATAAGATGATAACCCATTTTTGAAATGTGCTGTCAATCACTTCTCACATGCACCAAAAGCAAACCGTGCATCATGTGGTTGGCACCACTTATAGGAACACCTGCTGTAAGAGTACCCTTTATATTAATAAGTTTAAAGACTTTGCCAAAAGTTTTCAGTGAATTTTTTTCTGATTATAAGAACTGAGACCCAATCTCCTCCCTCCAAAAAAACCATAGTCCCTTTACCCTTTAAAGAACATCAATTTTTCCCTGTGTTTTTTGGCTTTTACAATCAGTTTATCTCAATCTGTTGAGAAGTGGCCTATTAGATGCACCATGGATTTCCTCTGTTTTCAATGTAGTATTTGCATTGAGTATCATGTTCCTTACTGAATACAGGAACAGTGTGTTCTTGGTAGTGGTGCTCTATTGTACTAACTACTGTGGCAGTTTAACAACAGTCTTCCAAATTGCCATCCACTAATCTAGTTGGACTGAGACAGCTCCTGCCCCACCAGTGACTTTCCGAGTCTGCTTCTATGGAACCAGGCAATAAAATGCAAGTTTGCTCTTAGGACCTTACAGCCCACCTCTAGTCATAAATGCAATGGAAAAATGTGTTTGTCTAAAGGTATGTCTCACAACTTTAAACAGCAGCTGCAGTGACTCTTTGTAGGTATAATGAAGGCAGAGTAAACTGCTTTAGATTGGCAAATGCAGCTAAACGTTACATTAAACTAGATAATGATGCACAAAACCATGTATAATGCGTAATAGTTTAGCTGTATAGAAACCTATAGTGAAACTTGTTTCAGATCCAGGAAATAATTACTACAGCATGTTTTAAAAGCTGGTCTTGCTTAATAATTTTCTAAATAGTACGTGCTGATATATTATGTGTATTAAGACTGAAAACTTGTCTAGCCATGCAGTTGATGAAAAATATGCTTCCTGTAAATGCCTTAGAATTGCACGGAAAGAACATGAACAGCACATTAGAAGAAATATAGCATGCCTTCTAAGTTGTCTATATGAGGAATTTCAAACACTTTGGTGGCATCTTACTAGAAAGACTGCCTCATGGATCCATCTCCTCGTCCACTCATGACTGACCAGTATCCCTGTGATGACTTCAGCAATTGTAAACGTGAACAAGTGATATTAGAAGAGTATTTAATGTATTTTCAGCTGCCTTTGAATACAATTTAGCAGCTAGAAACATGAGGAGGAGTAGACACCATGTGACCAGCCAGTTCTCAGCAGATACCTGTAAGTGCTCCAGGGCTCACAGCTTGGGACATGTGTTCTAGAAGGAGAATACCACATTAAAAGAGACACAGAAATCAGTAACCAATATCATTTGCCCTAACAGATAAAGTCAAAATTAAACAACTTTGAAAAAGCCAGGCTGTTACTTAAAATGTAGAACATACAGTTATCTGACATTCCACTCTGGAGCATTCCCAGACTGTTCTACTCCGTTGGTCTTATGACCCCCCTCCAAGCAGAAGCAAACAAACAGAGTAAAAAGGTATCTCCCGACAACGGGTGAAATCCTGGCTCCACTGAAGTTGATGGGCGTTTTATGATTGACTTCAGTGGAGCCAGGATTTCACCCACTATATCTAATCATCAGCTGTTCCTAATCCCCAATTTTCTTGTCTTCTTATATCCTGAGGTATTGTAACTACTCAGCTCTGTGCTTAACCCCTGCCTCTTGCCTTCATTCTAGCACCTCCAAGGCAATCGTGCTGAAAAAGGAAAGGAGAGAGA